AAGCTGCTTTAAAAGTTGCATCAAGTTGCATCAAGCTGCACAAGCTGCATCAAGTTGCATCAAGCTGCCCCAAAGCTGCCCCAAGCGCATAAAAGTTGCATCAAGCTGCACCAGCTGCATCAAGTTGCATCAAGCTACCAAGCTGCATCAAGCTGCACCAGCTGCTTTCAAGTTGCATCAAGCTGCACCAAGCTGCATCAAGTTGCATCAAGCTGCACCAAGCTGCATCAAGCTGCACCAAGCTGCATCAAGTTGCATCAAGCTGCACCAAGCTGCATCAAGCTGCACCAAGCTGCATCAAGTTGCATCAAGCTGCACCAAGCTGCATCAAGTTGCATCAAGCTGCACCAAGCTGCATCAAGTTGCATCAAGCTGCACCAAGCTGCACCAAGTTGCATCAAGTTGCATCAAGCTGCACCAAGCTGCATCAAGTTGCATCAAGCTGCACCAAGCTGCATCAAGTTGCATCAAGTTGCATCAAGCTGCACAAAGCTGCACCAAGCTGCATCAAGTTGCATCAAGCTGCACCAAGCTGCACCAAGCTGCATCAAGTTGCATCAAGCTGTACCAAGCTGCACCAAGCTGCTTCAAGCTGCACCAAGCTGCATCAAGCTGCACCAAGCTGCACCAAGCTGCACCAAGCTGCACCAAGCTGCACCAAGCTGCACCAAGCTGCCCCAAGTGCTCAGTTGCATCAAGCTGCACCAAGCTGCACCAAGCTGCACCAAGCTGCACCAAGCTGCACCAAGCTGCACCAAGCTGCACCAAGCTGCATCAAGTTGCATCAAGCTGCATCAAGTTGCATCAAGCTGCACCAAGCTGCACCAAGCTGCATCAAGTTGCATCAAGCTGCACCAAGCTGCACCAAGCTGCATCAAGCTGCTCCAAGCTGCACCAAGCTGCACCAAGCTGCATCAAGTTGCATCAAGCTGCACCAAGCTGCACCAAGCTGCATCAAGTTGCATCAAGCTGTACCAAGCTGCACCAAGCTGCTTCAAGCTTCACCAAGCTGCATCAAGCTGCAATAAGCTGCACCAAGCTGCACCAAGCTGCACCAAGCTGCACCAAGCTGCACCAAGCTGCACCAAGCTGCCCCAAAGGGCTGCATAAAGTTGCATCAAGCTGCACCAAGCTGCACCAAGCTGCACCAAGCTGCAACCAAGCTGCCCCAAAGCTGCACCAAGCTGATCAAGTTGCTTTCAAGCTGCATCAAGTTGCATCAAGCTGCACCAAGCTGCACCAAGCTGCATCAAGTTGCATCAAGCTGCATCAAGCTGCTCCAAGCTGCACCAAGCTGCACCAAGCTGCATCAAGTTGCATCAAGCTGCACCAAGCTGCACCAAGCTGCATCAAGTTGCATCACTGCCACCAAGCTGCACCAAGCTGCACCAAGCTGCATCAAGTTGCATCAAGCTGCACCAAGCTGCACCAAGCTGCACCAAGTTGCATCAAGCTGCACCAAGCTGCATCAAGTTGCATCAAGCTGCACCAAGCTGCACCAAGCTGCACCAAGCTGCATCAAGCTGCACCAAGCTGCATCAAGCTGGCACCAAGCTGCACCAAAGCTGCATCAAGTTGCATCAAGCGCCCCAGCTGCACCAAGCTGCATCAAGTTGCATCAAGCTGCACCAAGCTGCACCAAGCTGCACCAAGTTGCATCAAGCTGCACCAAGCTGCATCAAGTTGCATCAAGCTGCACCAAGCTGCACCAAGCTGCACCAAGCTGCATCAAGCTGCACCAAGCTGCATCAAGCTGCACCAAGCTGCACCAAGCTGCATCAAGTTGCATCAAGCTGCACCAAGCTGCACCAAGCTGCACCAAGCTGCATCAAGCTGCACCAAGCGCATTCAAGCTGCCCCAAAAGCTGCATCAAGCTGCACCAAGCTGCACCAAGCTGCACCAAGCTGCATCAAGTTGCATCAAGCTGCACCAAGCTGCACCAAGCTGCACCAAGCTGCATCAAATGCTAAACTTACTAACAACAACAATAATATTTGCTTTGCAAGGATACACATGGAGATTAAAGTCAACGTATTAGCTACTTCTTAGCTTATTGCAAGATAATCATGTTATTTCTTAGCTTATTCCAAGATCATCATGTTATTTCTTAGCTTATTGCAAGATAATCATGCTATTCCTTAGCTTATTGCAAGATAATCATGCTATTTCTTAGCTTATTGCAAGATAATCATGCTACTTCTTAGCTTATTGCAAGATAATCATGTTATTTCTTAGCTTATTGCAAGATCATCATGTTATTTCTTAGCTTTTTGCGAGATAATCATGCTATTTCTTAGCTTATTGCAAGATAATCATGCTATTTCTTAGCTTATTGCAAGATAATCATGCTATTTCTTAGCTTATTGCAAGATAATCATGCTATTTCTTAGCTTATTGCAAGATAATCATGCTATTTCTTGCTTATTGCAAGAAAATCTTGCTTTTTCTTAGCTTATTGCAAGATAATCATGCTATTTTTTAGCTTATTGCAAGATAATCATGCTATTTCTTAGCTTATTGCAAGATAATCATGCCACAGATTGGCACAGTTCCTTCGGAAATAACTTTCTTCGTAGAAGCCGCGAGACAGGTCAAAATTATCACTTGAATTATCGACAAACGAACAAAAAGAATTTATTTACGCGGATACGTTGATATCTGCAACTCAATCATTTATCGAATATTATATAATTTTTAGAAACACTAGTTTGTTTGGTAAATGTGATGCAGTTTGCAAAATATAATTCGATTATTTCCTTTGAAATAAATCGATTCCTTGGGTAATCAAAACAAAAATATACATACGAACAGTTAGGGAGCCAAAACGTGTATTTATTTACTAAGGATACAGAAAAAAAAATTATTGTCTTAACAGTGTCGGCAGTAATCACCGATCTCACAGCTTCTTTGTGACTTCCTCAGTTTTGTGGAGTGTGGGCGTGCGCGGGCGTAGCAGTGGTCCGCTGCTGGTGCTGGAGCCGCCCTCTCGAACCTATCTCACTAACTCGACGGGCGTGAAACTGCGATGCGCTGCTCTGGGCTCTCCCACGCCCACCATTACCTGGACAGGCGCGTCGGGTGAGGCGGTGCAGAGCCAGCCAGGCCTCAGGTAAGTTTGTGCACACATGCTGTCTTTACTCTCTTTAAATTATTTACACTATTTACTAGTGGTCCAAACCAAGCCTAGCTCAGGTAAGTTTGTGCACATGTGCTGTCTTTACACTGTTTACATTATTTACAGAATTTACAGCATTCAAAGTTTTTAAAATTCTCATTTATAGTGACCATTGTCTTCACTTGTAAAAGCAACTCCCAAAAAGAAATTTTTCTATTAATTATTTATTTATCGTAAGTTATATAAACGAACTCTTTAATAACAATGTGAAGTTCAGTTAGGGCAAATTTCTGTTACTTCGCTATGGAAAACTTGAGTAAATAAAAATTACAGAAGAGTATAAAGCAAATTGTAATCTAGTGATAATATGAGTCTCAAAGATCACTACAATATTTCTACCACATCTGCTAGGAAAATATTAGGATGGATAATGAGAACCTTTAAAACAAGGGATGACTAGCCAATAATAATCCTCTTTCAATCAAATGTTCTCTCGAGGCTGGAATATTGCTGTACACAAACATCCCTTTCAAGGCAGGAGAAATTTCAGACCTGGATATACAGAGAACTTTCACTGTACGTATAAGTGCTATCAAGCACCTCAATTACCAGTACTCATTGGAGGAAAGTCTAGGAAGATACATTATAATTTACACCTGGAAAATCCTAGAGGGATGACTCACTAACATGTACACGGAATTCACTCCCTAAGAAAGCAAAATTCTCGATAAGCGGTGCAACATTCCCCAAAGAAAAACATAAGTGCTATGAGATATGAAAATAAGAATCAGCTGCCCAAGACTTATTGAACTGCCTCCAAGCATACATAAGGGGGATTACCAATAGACCCATGGCTGTCTTCAAGACCCTTGGCTCTCTTCAAGACCCCTGGCTGTCTTCAAGACCCCTGGCTCTCTTCAAGACCCCTGGCTGTCTTCAACCCCCGGCTGTCTTCAAGACCCCTGGCTGTCTTCAAGACCCGTGGCTGTCTTCAAGACCCGTGGCTCTCTTCAAGACCCCTGGCTGTCTTCAAGACCCCTGGCTGTCTTCAAGACCCCTGGCTGTCTTCAAAACCCCCGGCTCTCTTCAAGACCCTGGCTGTCTTCAAGACCCCTGACTGTCTTCAAGACCCCTGGCTGTCTTCAAGACCCGTGGCTGTCTTCAAGACCCCTGGCTCTCTTCAAGACCCCTGGCTGTCTTCAAGACCCCTGGTGTCTTCAAGACCACTGGCTCCTTCAAGGGCCCGTGGCTGTCTTCAAGACCCCTGGCTCTCTTCAAGACCCCTGGCTCTCTTCAAGACCCCTGGCTCTCTTCAAGACCCCTGGTTGTCTTCAAGACCCGTGGCTGTCTTCAAGACCACTGGCTGTCTTCAAGACCCATGGCTGTCTTCAAGACCCTTGGCTGTCTTCAAGACCCCTAGCTGTCTTCAAGACCCCTGGCTGTCTTCAAGACCCCTGGCTGTCTTCAAGACCCCTGTCTGTCTTCAAGACCCGTGGCTATCTTCAAGACCCCTGGCTCTCTTCAAGACACCTGGCTCTCTTCAAGACCCCTGGCTGTCTTCAAGAGAGAGCTGGACAGACTCCCAAAATTAGTACCTGACCAGCCGGGTTGTGGTTTGAGTGCGGCCGGCAGTAAAAGCCTGATGGATGAGGCCCTGATTGATTGCGAGGTCTGGTCATGGACAGGGCCGCGCGGGCGTTGACCCCCTGAACACTTTCTAAGTAGACTCTAGGTAGGTAGATATAGACTGATAGACCTAACCAGGAGTCTACTAGCAGGGCTGCATCTGCTCTTGTTACCCACTTCCCTAGATAAAAACGGAAGGAACGTAGTTGAATTTAGAATAAGAATTAACAACTGATCGTCTACACTGCTTGCTGAATAGTTGGCCATCTTCTTGAGGCTAAAGTTAACTTAAGAAGCTGAGCTTGACTCTATGGTTATTACTGATTCTGTCATCGCCGAAAACTCTTGACTCGTATGACTCTAACAACATACACATTGGAGAAGCCAGATATTTTTTTAACACATCTGTTAAATATGTTAGAAAAGGCAGGATGAGTCGAAAAAGAAGAATCACTTTCATCATCATTCAGATCATCACTGTCTTGCCAGAGGTGGACCTACACGACAGTTAAAACGCTACAACATATCAACACTCTTTCAGAGCGCAGACAATGTACTTCCCACCTCCAGGACTTAAGGCTGGCTAACCAGTTTCCCTGAATCACTACATCCATTCATTCTCACTCGCTCCTATCTAACATTCTGACGCACTCTTGCTGGACGTCCAAGCCCCTCACACACAAAACCTCCTTTACCCCCTCCTTCCAAATTTCCTAGGACGACCCCTACCCTGCCTTCCTTCCACTAGAGATTTATATTCCCTTCAAGTCATTCTGTTTTGTCGCATCCTCTCTATATGTCTAAACTACCTCAACGGCCATTCCTATGTCCTCTTTATAATACTTTTAGAAACTTTCCTTCAAACCCCCAAGCTATGGATTATCTGCATTATATTCATACCACACTTTGCCCCATACACGTCATCACTGCCTCCAACCTTCTTCTTGTTGCAACATTCACAACTCATAGACACATCTACTGACAAGTCCACTTCCAGTATCTGAATACATTCACTTCCTCCATACTCCCTCCAATCTGATATCCAATTTTACATTACCTAATTTTTTGTTATCCTCGTGGCCCTGCTTTTCCTATATTCACTTTTAATTTCCTTCTTTTACATACCCTTCCAAACTCGTTCACCATCCCCTGTAACTTCTCTTCAGAATCCCCCAACAGTGCAGTGTCATCAGCAAAATGTAACTATGACAACTCCCACTTTAAGTTAGATTGTTCTTCTGTTAATTCTACGCACCTCTTACCAACACCCAAGCATTCATTTCTCTTACGTCGCGCATCTCTGTCTAAGGCATAATTTTTCTGGGAAATAATATCCCTTTCGCCTACATATTATAACCTGAGCCTTACTATTCTTGTAAAAACTCAGTAACCTACATACAATTGCAACATCTACTACAATGCTCTAGTGTCTAACCTATCATAAGCCTTTTCCGAATACATAAATGCAACGAAAACTTCTTTACCCTTGTCTAAATACAGTTCACATATATGTTTCACTGTAAACACTTGGTCTACACACCTCTTACCCTTCTTAAAGTCTCTTTGCTCATCTAGGATCTTGCTCTCCTTCATTCTCTTAATTCTTTCAATAATAACTTTACTATATTCTTTACCTGGTATACTCAATAGGCTTATTCCTCTATAGTTCTTACACTCTCTTTTGTACCCTTTGCCTTTATACAAAGAATCTATGCATGCTCTCTGCCAATCCTCTTTCATTCAGTTATTATATAAAAGCACCAATTATTCCAAAAGTATATCCTCATCTGCTTTCAACATTTCTGTCTTTATCCCATCAATCCTCTCCTGCTTTACCCCCTTTCATTCTACTCACTGCTTTAGGCACCTGCCCCACACTCACAACTGGCTCTTCCTCACTCCTACAAGATGTTATACCTCCCTGGACAATGCACAAAATCAGAGCTTCTCTATTTTCATCAACATTTAACAGTTCCTCAAAGTATTCCTTCCATTTTCCCAATATTTCCAACTCTTCCTAAAATAACTCTCCCATCCTATTTTTATTTGTCAAATCGAATCACTCCTAAAGCACTGTTAACTTATAAATCTCACTCCAAAACTTTTTCTTATTCTCACATAATTTGTGGATAGTATCTCACCAACTCTCTGATATGCTCCCCTTTTACATTGTTTCACCGCTCTTTTAATCTCTTTTTTTTTCTTCATGTGATCCTCCCTCACTGCATCTCTGCATCTCTTCTACTTTGTAAAAACCTCTCATATGCTATCTTTTTCTCTCTTACTATTCTCTTCACCTCATCATTACACCAATCGCTCTTCTTCCCTCCCTCACCCACTTTCTTATAACTGCAAACTTCTGCTAAACACTCACACTACGTTCCTAAATCTAGCCCATACATTATTGGCCAATATGTTCAGTTGAAAAGAGAAGTAAAAAAAAAAAGGATTAGAAAGGCTAAACGTGACTATGAAATTAGAGTTGCTAGTGAATCAAAGACTAATCCAAAAGGGTTCTTTCAAGTGTATAGGACGAAGGCGAGGGAAAAAGTAGGACCTCTGAAAGTTGGGAATGGACAGCTGAAGGATAACGAACTGGAAGTGTATTCTTTATTTAATGATTATTTTTTGTCTGTCTTTACACAAGAAGACGTAAATGAGAGTCCAGAAATTAGCAATTACTCAGCTCATGAAGAATTCAAATTAACTAATATTACTATCACGAGGGACATGGTTATCAAACAGATAGATAAGCTGAAACAAAATAAGTCCCCGGGACCCGACGAGTTTTTTCCAGGGTACGTAAAGAATGCAAGATGGAGATTAGTTAGCCATTAATGAGCGTGTTTAATGCGCCCATCCACATCAGATGTGGAAGACACCTGATGTAATTCCTATATTCAAATCAGGGGATAAGTCCATTCCATCATATTACCGTCCATGAGCCTGACGTCTATAGTAGGCAAATATTATTAGAATCAATTATAGCTGACATTATTAGAAGTCACCTTGAAGAGCATAATTTGATTAATGAATCTCAGCATGGATTCACGAGAGGTCGTTCCTGCCTTTCAAATTTACTGACCTTCTTCAATAGAACATTTGAGGCAGTAGACAGTGATAAGGAATATTATATTGTTTATTTGGATTTTAGTAAAGCCTTCGATAGAGTACCTCACAAAAGACTGTTAAGAAAAGTGGCAGCTCATGGTGTAGGAGAAAAAGTTCTTGCATGAATAGAAGCATGACTTAACAATAGAAAGCAGAGAATTTCCATTAATGGGGTTAAACCTGAATGGGGATTAGTCACTAATGGCATTCCACAAGGATCAGTTTTACATTAATGACCTTGATGAAGGAATCAGCAA